GGCCTCGACGAAAGGGGCGAAAGGAGCCCGCGATGTCATGCAGGACCGCGATCAGGTGCTGGACTCGGTGATCGCGCACTGCCCCGACTGGCTGACGCCCCCCGTTGTAGTCCAGCAAGCCCAGAACCAGATCCGCATAGAGTGGAAGGCCCTCTGGAAAGGAGCCGATAGGGAGCACAGGACCAGACCAGCCGATTGGATCTGCTCCATGGTGCTGCCCCCGTTCACGGTGGGCGACAGCCTCGAGGCGGCGAAGTCGCTCCCGAAGCAGACCGCTCTGGGCTGGGATGCGTTCCACCCGCGGCTGGTCCTCTCCCAGGGCAGGCCCTTCGCCGATATGATGGCAGAGGTGCTCACGGCTTGGGTGTTGCAGCCGCAGCCCACGGCCCTCTTCACCACGGTGTTCCTCTTCCTGGGGAAGCCAGACGGAGGCCGCCGCCCGATCGGCCTCATGGGCAAGTGGTTGCGCATCTGGTGCAGGGTGCGCCGCCGCTACGGTGTCAAGTGGGAGAAGGACCACCAGCCCACTTTGGTCTGGGGCAAGGATGCGAACAGCTGTGACATGGCGGTCTACCCACACAACCTGGGGCTCGCGCTCGCCCGCCAGCTTGGCTTTGGGGCAGCCTCAGTCTATCTCGACGGCAAGTTCTACGCGCGGACCGACCACGACCGTTTCAAGCGAACTGCCGAGTTGGTGAGCTTGATGGGCCACCGCTACGAGGAGCTCTTCTGCCAGGATCTCTTCGTCGGCGCCCAGTACCAGGTGCAGAGGCCGCGTTGTGACCCTGGTGGGGAGCGCCGCTCGCGCGGCTGGGGCGCGGGCGCACTCGTGGTGCCCGCGGGCACCCTCGTCTTCACGGACGGCTCCTGCGTCAACAACGACCTGATAATCAGGAGCGCGGTCTGGTCGGTGGCGGTTCTCACGACCGTTGGCGAGTGGGAGGTGCAGGCGAGGGGTGCGGCGCCGTCTGCCCTGAAGCTCTTCCCCTCCCGTTCGCGGGCGGCCATCGAGCGGGGCGACCTCATGGAGGTGGAGCTCTTCGGCAACCGCCTCGTGGGCCAGCTCGCGAAGGCGGGCGCGGCGATGCACGCCATCGCCGACGAGGAGGCCCGCCTGCTCCAGGGCTGCCAGGCCCGCACCCGCTTCGCGGCGCGCTTCGCCGCCGAGTTCGAGGTCCAGGACACGGAGTCGGGCTTGCGGGACCTCACCCCCTACTTTGCGGCGGAGCTCGACGGCGAGGCCGACCCCCTGTTCGCCGCCGCGGCGGAGCCCGCCCCTGGGACAGGTGGATTCAGCCCACCGAAGTCGCAGTCCCAGGGGCGCGGCCAGTTCGGGAAGAAGCACGACGTGGAGGTGCGCGCGGCTGGCATCGCGGAGCTGGACGCGCTGTCGGCTGCCCCTGACGGCGCGGCGCTGGTGCGCGGCAGCGGCATCTCGGAACCCATCGAGCTCCCCGAGGGCCGCGAGGCAGCCGCCGCTGTCGGGCACGCCGCTGGCGGAGGCCCTGGGCAGCCGCCGCGGCCTGCAGACAGCTGCCTGCCGCCCCCAGCTGCCCCCTTGGCGCGCCGCCCGCGGCAGGTTCGCCAGGCGCCACGCGACGCGGAGCACGTCGCGCTGTATGGCGATGGCAACGTGAAGGAGATCGACGCGGAGCTTTGCGGTGACTACGCCGAGGCGCAGGCCTCGGCGGCTGATGGCGGCCCCCTCCTCGCCACGGCGGCGGCCCTGGCAGCGGTGGCGGCTGCTGGCGCCTCCAGCTCGCGCCCTTCGCCCATGAGGCGCCGCCCCGCCTCGGCCGAGTCGCCCGCGGATGCCCTGCGACGCGTCGCCCAGCGCAGGGCGCAGGTGCAGCCGAGGCGCCGCGAGGCCTCTGCCCCCGCGCCCCGCCCGCGCCTGGCGGCGGCGGAGGCGGCGAGCAGCGGGCCAGCCACTGCGGAGGCGGCTGATGCAGCCCGTCCAGCGGGATGGAGGGTCAACGGCCACCTCCTCATGGAGTCGAGAGTCGAAGGAGACGACTCCGAGCCCTTCTTGGTCTGCGCGGCTTGCTGGATGTACTGCCGCCTCCCCAGGTACGCGCGCCGCGGCCTGGGCAAGCAGTGCGGGGCCAGCGCGGCGGCTGGGCAGTCCAAGTGCAAGAAGGGATCCAGAGCCCAGGCGCGGTCGGACTTCGCTCGCGGCATCCTGCCAGCGTCGAAGGAGCCGATCGCGCCGCTGGCCTCGCCAACGGAGTGCATGCGCCGGCGCTGGGCGGCGGCACTCCAGGCCAGGCAGGGCCACGACGCGGAGGGGCAGGCGCTCGTGGCAACGCCCGTGCCAGCGCAGCGGCTGCCAGCAGCCGCCCAGCCCCCACCGCCTGCGGCTGGCGCTGGGAGCCAGGCGGCTGCGCCGCCGAGCGCCGCGGCTACGCGGCGGCTGGCCGCGGCGGCCCCGCGGGAGGAGGCCGCCGAGCCGCGGCGGTCCCGCCCAGGGCTCGAGGGTGTACGTGGAGCCCACGGCTTCGCGGAAGCAGCGGCGGCCCGCGAGCGCGGGCGAGCCGCGGCGGCAGCGGCCGCCCGCGCAGGCCGCGCGGGGACGCGCGCCGCGGGCTGAGGCGGCCTCGGCTGGCGGCTGTAAGCGCCCGCGCGGCCCTCCGCCCGTTTGAATTTATGCAAGAATCCGCCGAGCCCGCTCGGCGCCCACACAGATAAAAAAAAAAACGCCCTCACCGCGTGCCCGTCCCCGTCGGGCCATGGGGCCCGATGGGGGCGGGGATCAGTTTTAGGAGACGGACGATGAAACGAGCACCCAGGGCGTTCTGCGGATATCAGCCGTGCCACGGCTCAACACTCTGCCGGGTCCCAGAGAAGGGCCACGGCCAGGAAGGGGGGGACTTCGTGCCCAGCCCGTCCCCGTCCGCATGGTCTAATTTCTCCTTCGCTTAACTTGTCAGCCCCACTATGCCACCACCCCAGTCAGGGGATAGGCCCCTCAGAACCCGAAGGGAACAGGCTATTTCCCCATCTAGTGGAGTAGATCGGCCAGTGGGGCCAAGGCCACACTAGGGGGGATAAGGATCGGTTAAACGATGCTCAGAAAGGCCTCGCTCAGCGGGGCGGGGCCTAAATGCCACCACCTGCCTCCCGAGAGCAGCGGGCTCGTCTCGGGAAGAACGCCAACCCTCCGGCTCGGGCCCTCTCCGTTGCGATGCCCCCTGCATTCGTTACGAGCCTCGATTCAATCGGTTCCCGATCGACCGTCCGACTTTCTCCAAAGTATTGGCCAAGATTGGACGCTGGCCTGGACTTCGGCCCTTGTAAGCCGTCAGGGAGCTCACCGCTGCTCTACCGCCCTCTGGACCTCCTGGCCACGGCGCACTGTTGGCAGCCCCACATGGGGGTCGGAGGCCTGTCGGCGCCGCGGCCGCCGCAGGCTCGTCATGCGTTCCCTCCGTCTCCTAACCGGCAGGCCGCCACCGCCGACCTCACCCGAGACCTGACGTGGCGAAGCAATATGAGCATCGTGGAAGATCGCGATCAGAGCTCTAGACCGTATCCTTCTGCGGCATTTTTCGAGCCCGATTGATCTGCGACGGCCCTAGGGCCCAAGCGACAGCGCCCCCTGCGAAAGATTTGCAGCGCTGGGATCTCGGGCTTGGCCAGCTCCTCGAGGGCCCTCTGGGACGTGGCTTTCCAGCGCCAGGGCCTGGAGCTGCCTGCTGGCTGCCGCTGGCTCGTCTGCACCAGCAGCGCCCGCTCGGCGGGACGCCCCCGCGGCACCCCTGCGCGCCCCTGCGCGCAGCGGTGCGCAGACGGCCGCACAGCAGCACCGCTGCCAGCGCCAAGCAGCGCGCGCAGATCGGCCAGCCCGCGCGGGAGCCGAAAGCTCAGAGGAGGGCGAGTTGAGGCAGCGGCCCCTGGATCGGCGCGGGTGTTATCGGCAGCGGGCGCTTGGCCAGGCACCTATCTTTCGAAGAATTGACGCACGAGAACGGTACCGGACTCAGGAGGCCGTACGCAGTTCTCGACAAGAGGTATGACAAACAGGAGCACTGCAACTTCAACTACGCATCGGCCAGGTAACTACGATTGGCGCAGGGCTTCGCGTCAGAGCATGGCAGAGTTTTTGGCGGACTGCTCACATGCAAGATCTACTGCGAGCAGACCGATCAGGAGGTATCGTCAAGGGTCAAGGGCCACGCGCGGATAGGGTTGAAGAATTGAGGCCTCAGTCGAAACGAACACCAGAATGTGCTGGCTACGGCTGGCAAGATATGGGACCCCATTTTGATCGACGAAGCGTTGATCATGTTGTACGGAGATGACCACATCGACACCCTGATGCCATTGTGATGCGACGTGGAGGCTACCGAGGGAAGCTGTGATATTGTCCTTCAATGTCACATGGCACGGGGCCCAAGGATCCCAAAGTCACTGACTGACAAAGGCAAGCATGGCAGTGGCATTGGCAGGTGCTGCGCCTACCACAACGAAAACGGTGATGAATAAAGTCAGCCAGATGAGTCAGCGATTGGAGGCGATTCAGATGAATGGGACGACCCGCAACTAAGCTGACTTCCCGTGTTGTTCGTTCACTTGCCGTGCAGATGCCATAGTCTGCCATGTTATTATCATGCGATGCCCGATTATTGCCGTGCAGTTGCCATGCGGATTCCATTTGTGTGCCATGCAGCTGCCCCGCAGTTGCCATGCTATTGCCATCATACTGCCGCACTTGCGACGCTGTTGCCAGTCATTTTCCATGCAGTTGCCACGCGCCTGCCATGCAGTTGCCATGCAGTCGCTGGGTTATTGCGATACAATCGCCAAGCTATCGCCAAACAGTTGCCAAGCAGTTGCCGTGGCAGCGGGGGTTCAATCCAACTCTGCGCCCCGCTGCTTCGCGAAAATACCGCCGAAACGCGCCCCTCGCCCGCAATGGTTCCGCCAGTTGCAGAACCTTGTCTGCCAGCACGTCCTCGAGCTCCAGTACCGCCTCAGGCTGACCAGCATCATGAACAGATATGAGCAGGTACCAGTCCCGTCGGATCAAGCTTTTGCAAAAGCAGCTGACGTCGGTCCTATCCACCGCGCAGCGCGGCCTCGAGAAGGACGAGCATATGGGTGCCGATTTCGCCACTCACCTCCCTCACCTCCCTCCCCCTTCTGCCTCCGTTGGCCCACATTTCGTGGCGGGCCGCGCCCCGTCGCAGCATTTCTCGAGTGCTGACCCCGACGCGTACTACTGCGGATGTATGCCGATGGCCTCGAAGTTCGATGCGGCGTGGCGCGCCCGCGGCGCGGCGCAGAGGCGCAGGGCAGCCCTTTACGTTTTTTGTTCCGTGGTTTCCTTTTTAAGAGCCCAGCCAGAGGGCAGAACGAAGTTGATTGGGTTGTGGTGTTGGTTGTACCGTTTGGACATCCTGGGAAGCCCTTTTCGCCACGGCTGGATCCGATTCGAATTCCTGCTCAGGTCGCGCTCCAGCAACGATCCATGGGGGAGATATCGATGGAGGGTGGCCCATATCTGTATCGTCGTAAACAATCACGAAGGCACGCTTGTCTTACGCTTGAGCTTCCGGAGGCCCGCTTCAGTCCATGCTGCCCACAAACACTCCCCGCGGCGCTGATTCAATTAAAAGCGACGAAGCCGAGAGTTCCATCACCCTACGCGTTGAAAGATCTTGACGTCGCGGGTCTGGGTGTGCGACCTCCACTGGTCTTCAGGGGGCGCCAACAACTACGCCTAGAGGACGTATGTGATTTGGGGCCGATGGTATGTTTCACGCGCACCCCCCCAGATGGGATGGGTCCCAGGGTTCCACAAACCCCTCCCGCCAGATGGGATGGGGTGGGGTCGACAACGACGACGACGAAGCCGAGGCCGAAGCCGACGCCGATGCCGATGCCGACGGAAGACGACGACGACAACGACGACGACGACGACGACGATGACGACGACGACGACGTCCACCCTCCCCCACGCCACGCCCACAAGGCCACAACCATGAGGGGGGGGCGATAGGCCTTCGCGACGCTTACAGGCGTATCCATCCATCGGAGGTGTGGGCTGATCCCATTAGCATTTGCGGGGGCCAGAGCCCCGGATCATACATGCACCGATCCAGTGCCCAGAGTGGGCCCGATCAGGGTCGGTACCGATGCAGAGTTAGCGCCCTCCTGCTCCATTCCAGTTCGGCTGTTCCCTCGCCGGCGAAGAACTGGACGACGATTACCACAAAGTGGACGACGATGACTTCGACGACGACGTGGACGACGGCGACGTCGTCGACGACGACGGCGTCGACGCTGACGGCGGCGTCTACGGCAGCGGCGGCGGCGCTGGCGCGCGACTGGGCTCCAAGTCTGGCAGGGCCGGGGCCCGCCAGGCCTCCCGCGCTGGAGGTCCCCAGCTGAGGGTGCGGCGTCCGCGCTGGCCGCCCCCGCCAGCCGCCGATCCGCCGTCTACGCGGTCGCCGCCGGCGTCGTCGGCGGCGCCCTCCTCGCAGACGTGGCCATCATCGCCGTCGCAGGTCTCATTTTGGCTTCTCCGATTCGATTCGATGTCGATCGATCCTGATTCCGACCCGATTCGGCCTCGGATTGCGACTTGGACTTCGGTTTCTCTATGTAGGCCTTTCTAGCCTGCCGATTTCTGCAGATTCGATTTTCCCCGACTTGGCTGCCGATTTCCGCAGATTCGATCCATGTCGATCGCCGATCCGACATCGATTCGATTCTGGGCTCTCCTGCCGTCGGCGTCGTCGCCGCCCTCGTCGTCCCTGGCGTCGCTGTCGTCGGCTTCGGCATCGATACCGCCGCCGCCGCCGCCGCCGCCGTCATCGACGCCGACGTCGCCGTCGTCCACGGCGTCCGCGCCGTCGTGCACGTCGGCGTCGTCTCTGAACACCTCGTTTTGCGGCGCCGTGGAGCGGACGCCGACGTCATCATCGCGCAGCGGCGCGTCTGTGTGCTTGTCGTCGTCATCGTCGTCCTCGTCGTCGCGACCGCCTCACCTTGCGGGAGGCAAAAGGGGGAAGGGCGAAAAGAGCAGGAGTTGGAGGAGGATGGCCACATATCACAGCGTCATAAGACAAATCGAGGCGGCAGCTTTTCCGGTTTGGGCATCTGGAAGCCTATGTCGGGCGCCTGGGCCATCAAGACACGATTTGCGACGGCAATCACCTGCTCTGGACGAGGGATCAAGAGCTCCAGGGGCCTCCGTCACGAGAAAATCGTGACGACGTCGTGGAGAGGGTGCTGGGTGGGATGAAGATGGACAGATGTGGCTTAAAAATCAGGAGCAGGCAGAAATGACGAAGGAAATGGGGTCGAGGCGGGAGGAGCTCAGGGAAGATGCAGGAAAGAGAATGCATGAGGTGGGGAGACATCAGTACGAGCATAAAGATCAGGGTTCCGATTTTGAAGAGGCAGGGGAGGAGTGAGCAGGATGAGATGAGAGATGACGATGAGGAGTAGGAGGAAGAGGAGGAGGAGGAGGAGGAGGCGAGGAAAAGAAGGAGGGATAAGGATGAGGATGGAGGAACATGAGGCACAAGTGACGACCTTGTCGCCGACTCTGCCTGAGGGCTGGGCTACACGCGCTCCGTGCTAGGTGACCTCGACTGCCAAAAGTTGCTTGCGATCTGCCAGAAACAGCCACTCCACCGCTCCGGAGGGGGGAGGGGGAGGACTAGGGAGGGAGAGAGAACGAGGGAGAGAATGATGGAGACGGCGACGTCAACGATGACGACGACCCGTGGAGACGACGACGAAGGCGACGACGACTTGCCAGTCGGAGTGCTCTGGAGCGCCCTCGGGGGTGCCTCTGAGTGGGCGCCCGAGGGGCGCCCTGCGACAAGCCTCGGAAAAAAATAGCGAACACTCATGCCACATTCATCTGTGAACGCCTCCCCCTCTTCCCAATGTTCAAAGTTGGCGGTGGGTCTGATGAGTTGCACCTCGACCGCAGTCTCACCCGCGCGTGCCAACTTCGAGTTTGGAGGGCAGGGGGGGTGTTCACTAATTGTTTTCCTCTTCCGGAGGTCTCCTTGTGTTTGGTTCGCGTGTCCGCGAGGGCCTTCGAAGTCCCTTTCGAATGCGCTCGAGCGTACGGCATGTTCGTGCCGGGCTTCCGCGGCAGCGACCCCAGCGTGGGCGTTCGAGGTTGAGCGCTGGCAGCCCAGAACAGGCTTATGTCGGGCCTGTCCCTGTACAGGGGGGATATTCAGAAATAGTCAAAAATAGTCAGGGGACGATTTTTGTATTATTTTTGCTCATTTGGGGGGTATTTTGTGAGTATTGTTTTGTTTCGCCCAAAATCCCCCTGTAGGGGGACACGCCCGACTTAAGAACAGGCTGATATTCAGCGATCTGCGTTATTTGGAAAACCAGCGATCGGTCAAGGTTGAATGATCCACGTCACTGCAGGAGCCACTACCAACGTCGCCACGACACGAGCCTGCTGTAGCGAAGGCTCTCGGGTATCTTGCGCAGACTAAGACAGGCTTCTCCTAATTCTCGGCCCCGGGGGGCGGCCGGTTTTCAGGCTCCGGGGTTGTCGACAAAACTCTTTGGGACGACAGACCCGTCCTCGGGGAGTAGATCCACAGTTCTGGGGGCTCCGTATTGAAATCAGGGGCAACGTTATGGTCAGAAAGACAGCTGTCGGCTTGGGAGGAAGGGGCTGGGAAAAATGAGCATGTCAGCATTATAATCGCGTATGTTGAAAGTATAGTTGGTACAAAATGATACACACTTCCATTGAGCCGTCATCTCTTCCAACTTGTCCTCCCTCCCTTTCCTCCTGCTCCCGGCCTGCTGTCTCCGCCTGGCCCCACTTCCGCCTGCCCGCCCGCCCCGCCAGCCCGGGCCTCCCGCCTGCGCGTTCGTCGTCGTTTGCATGCTTCTCCCCTCTTCTTCCCCCTTTGCCGGGCAACACAGCCTGCCCAGGAGCAGCGTGGCGGCACGCAGAGCAACTTGGAGGGCCCGTCTGGGGCCACAGCGCTGTCGGGGTTGAGAGCGCGAGTCGGAGAGAAGGGAAGGAAAAAAGGAAACAGGCTTGGATCTTGCATTGCCTGCCGATTGGGCTAGCACTTTTGCTTGAATGTCGTTTGGTTCTTCACATTCCACTCGCTGGAAACAACGTTCTGGCTCATCGCACTGCCCATGCACCACGCCCCAAGGCGTCCGAAGGGGTTGCGTCACGTTGTGTCCAGGGCCACCCCCCAGAAGCAGCGCGAGGGCGTCCGAAGGGTTTGCGCTACGTGGCGTCCAGGGGAACGCTCCCCCCCCCCCAGAAACAGCGCGCCTACCCTTGCAGGGTGCATTCCAGTCTGATGCGATGTCGGTTCCGGGGTTGTCGGCTCCCCAGGCCTCCTTGCCGCACCTCCCGCAGCAACGGAGACGCCGACGACAATGACGACTGGGGGTCGTTAAGGAAAAAAAAAGGGAAGGCCCGACCTGGGGACATTTGTCGCCTGGCTGTCGCCGTCTGCACTGCCCTGCGCATCGTCCCGAGAGCCAGCGAAGTAAGCGATTGCATTGGCGATCCCTCTCCTTCTCACGAAGCTTTCCATCGCGCCCCCAAGCGCCCCCCGCCCGTCTCGAGGCGCTGCCAAGGCGCCCCAAACGCTCCCAGGCACAGCACTGCGGCGCTACATGGCCATCCCCGTAATTGGGACAGCCTTCGGTGTAGTGGCATTCGTTCGTTCCCAGGCTCACATCAGGGCCGTCGAAGAGCACGCAATCTCAGCCGCAAGCGCGCGCCCCCTCGCAGCGGCGGCCGCGCCGAACGGGCGCACCGCAGCCGCGGGCCCCCGCTCCGCGGCGGGTGTGCTTCTCGGGCCGCGGAAGGCGCCTTCCTGGGGTCGCCGCCGCCATCGTCGTCGTCGTCGCTAGGCATTGCCTCCCTGACCGCCCGCCCTCTCTTCCTGCCTCTGCTCGTTTCTCCTGTGCATCATCCCTCCTCCTCCCTCCTCCCTCCCTCCCTCCCTCTCTCCATCCTCCTCCTCCTCCTCCTCCTCCTCCTCCTCCTCCCTCCTCCTCCTCTCCTCCTCCTACTCCTCCTACTCCTACTCCTATCCTTATTCCTTATTAGAATATACTCCTACTCCCCCCTCAGGCCGGCCGATAGGGGCCGCATCCGGGTGGTCCCATCCTAACCTGTAAAAAACAATACAAAATCAACATTTTTCTTATTTTTTCCTCTCGACATGGACGTCCTGTCGTCCACGGCGATAATCCATTGCAAAAAATACCACAAAGAGCACACGCGCGCGTTCATGTCAGAATCCTACCGAACACCGTGTGTTTGCAAGCATTTCAACATAAAAACATCAAAAACCCAATGCTTTTTCACAAAAATTGTACAAATTTCCCGCCCGGGCTCTCTTGCTGAAATCATAGGAAAACCATAGGAATCTTAAGAATTCGGTCAAATCCAGCGATTTCACGTCATCGCGCGGTGCACTCGCGATGCTCTGTCATGCACCCAGGCCGCGAATCCTGTGCAAAAAATACCACAAAGAGCACACTCGCGCGTTCATGTCAGAATCCTACCGAACACCGTGTGTTTGCAAGCATTTCAACATAAAAACATCAAAAACCCAATGCTTTTTCACAAAAATGCTTTGGGGTGTCCTGTCAGACCGTCGGGCTTCCTCCGGCCACCTCTGGCTTCCTGCGGTGTACCGGGCCATTCTCGACTCGTCTGGCAATGCGTGCGCGGCATTCAACACGCGCTCGCCAGTTCCCGTCGGCAACCGCCATCGCGGCCGCATCAGCTGTACCAAACCGGCTGGCCGGTGTGACTTCGGCCCCCAGTTGTGCCAGCTTTGCTTCTTATGTTGTGGGAGGGCGGGTGGGACTGGGCATGCCATGCTTGACTCGCTCGAGCTGGCTAGCTTGACTCCTACTCCTACTCCTCCTCCTCCTCCTCCTCCTCCTCCTCCTCCTCCTCCTCCTCCTCCTCCTTGTGGACCACATCCCGACCATGGACGCCGAGTGCCGACGCGCGGGCCTGGCCCCTTCGGCGCTCTCGCGGTGGCCCACCTTCACCTCCTTCGACTTCAAGGCGGCATTCCCGTCGCTCTTCCGGCGATGGATGGAACGCTGCCTCCCGCGCTACGGGATCCCACGCGGCTACATCAACATCATCAGCGCCTTGTACATGAATTGCGTTGCGCTGGCCACGTGCTGCGGGCCGGCTGAGAGCGGTGCCTTCTGCTTCTTGTTCGCGCTTCTCGGCGGCGTGATGCAGGGCTGCCCCCTCAGTGGTACGCTCTGGTGCGTCTCCATGGACCCGGTCGTGAGGGCCCTGCTGGTCGCGGTCGGCGACGAGGGGTTGCTGTCCGCCTGCGCGGACGACGTGGGCATGCTGCTGCTGCGGCTGGCGAGGATGGCCCAGGTGGCGGAGGTCTTCACCCTGGTGCAGAAGCTCGCGAACCTCACACTGGCGGTCAAAAAGTGCGTCATGGTCCCCCTCTGGGCCGCCTCCGACACGGCGCTGGCGCAGGCGCTGCGCGCGAGGCTGGCTGAGGTGCGGAGCGGCTGGGATTTCTTCCAGATTGACGGCAAGGCCAAGTTCCTCGGGGCCTTTATCGGGCCAGGAGTGTCCCTCGACTTGGTCTGGGAGCTGCCCTGCATGAAGTGGTGGCGCCGCAGCCACGCCATCGGCGCATCGGGCTCGCCCTCGAGCCTCTCGGTGCGGGCTTACAACACCGCCAGCATCAGCTGCCTGTCGTACGTGGCGCAACTCTTCCCCATGCTCCCTGCGGCCCTCAGGCGCGAGCATCTGCTGCTGCACAAGGTCCTGCGCATCCCGCCCTCCACTTTTCGCAAGGCGGACCTGCTGGCCCTGACGAACTGGCTGCAGTCTCCGGCGCCTGCAGCGCTCCAGGCGTATGCGCTGTCCGTCCGCTGGCGCGCGGCCACAGCCACGGTTACGGGATGGCGGACGGCCCTGCAGAGGCTCGCCGCCGAGGCCGAAGAGCAACTCCCGGTGACGAGATGGCGGGCGGGCGACTTCTCCCCGCCTTTCTGGGCTCTTCCGCGCGCAATTGCGCAGGAATGCGCGAGCTTGGTGGCGGGGGAGGCGCAGTTGCAAGTTCCCGCGCGGCGGCTCCAGACAGCCATCGCCGCGGCGGAGACGGAGAAGCGGACGGCTGCGATGATGATCCGGAACCCCAGCTCCAGACGTGTTTCTACCGCTCTCTCACTGCGTCGCTCTTCCCTGAGTCCTTGGTGACGACCCTGCGGAAGCGGCTCCGTGCCTGGGGCCTTGGCGTGCCTCCCGCCCTGGAGGCTCGCTGGTCCGCGCTGCGAGCCGTGCTGGTGCGGGCGCCGCCGTCGTGGCAATGGGCGGCTCTCAAAACGCTGGGAGGTGGGTGGACGACGGCTGGCCGCATACATATCATGACGCCCCGGCCCTGCCTGTTCGGCTGCGAGTGCGCGGCGGACGACATCAGGCACTACCTCGTGTGCAGGCGGCTATGGCATTGGGTGGCCCTGCCGCGCTCCTTCCTGCCGGGGCCGCTTGGCCGCCTCGGGCTTGGCAGTGCGGCCGAGCATGCGGGCGAATGGTCCCGGGGGACTGCCCTTCGGGGGGTCGTGCTGGCTTTCCACATCTACCACCTGCACAAGAAGTTCTTTGACAAGCACGGCCGTGTCGTCCCCTTCGACGCGGCTTCGGGGATCCGGCTCGCGGCCCTACATCGACTCCGCGACCGCCGAGTGCCCGCTGCGGCGTCGGCGCAGTCGTCCTCGGCTGCGGCTGCCCCCCAGCCGCCTGCCCAGCGCGACGCGCCGCCCAGACCCGGCGGCTCTGGCAGCGGCCCCAGCGTGCACGAGACAAAAGCGTTACCTCTGGAAGGCGCCCTGGGCGCGGGTGCGGAGGGCGCCCTGGAGCAATCGCAGGAGGCCCAAAGGGGCCTTGACAGCGGCCGTGGCGGCCCCGCCGGCGCGCTGGCACCATCGACTGCGACTTCACCGGCGGCGGGCCTGAGGGCTCGGTCGCGTGCGGCGCGCCCCTCCGCGGCCGTCGCCTGAGCTTGTGGACGCGCCCCCTCGGCTGTGTGCACTCCTCCTCCTCGTCCTCCTCCTCCTCCTCTTCCTCGTCCTCCTCCTCCTCGTCCTCCTCCTCCTCCTTCTCCTCCTCCTCCTCCTCCTTCTCCTCCTCCTCCGCCTGGCCGCCTAGAAGCTCCGTGCGCGAGCAGCCTGCCATTTCCAAATTCCCGTCTTGGGTCCTGCCCTCGTGGTGGACGAGGCGGGGCGGCTACTCCCTTTTCATTTCACCGTTCCGTTCCGTTGGGGGGAGCGCGCCAGCCTCCCATTCTGGATCATGGGTGGCCGTCGGAAGGTCGGATTTCTCCGCCGCCTCCTTCGTCACCGCGTTCAATTCCGTCCTCGGCGCTTTCGTCTACCCCGTGCGGTCTGGCAGTAGGTGGACCATCTATATTCCTTCGACTTATGAAATTGCACGGCAAAGCCCGGCATGCCACCATCCTCCCTTGGTCTCGCAGGTATATGGTATATGCCTGCGGCCTCCCCTGATGGCCGAAGAGGCCTTCAGGAGAGCTCAACAATGCCCTGAGACGGCCGAAGACGACCCGAAGAGAGCGCCCCGAGGCCTACATCGGGCCGCCAAGACGGCAAAAGGCATTTCCCAGACGGCCTCAGGCCTGAGACGGCCCCAAGACGGCCCGAGAGCGCTCCGAGAGGGCCCAAGATGGCTTATACACAGAGGCCCTGAAGACGGCCCAAGAGGCCCCCCCGAGGGCCCCCAAGAGCAACAAATCTGCAAACTCCCTTCGGGAAACGCACATGTTTAGCATATTCGCTTCCTCGGTCCTAACAGCGTCCAGAATTGTCCAAGAGGCCCCCGATATCGCCCCAAGACGGCCCAAGAGGCCCCCAAGAGGGCCCCCCAAGACGGCCCAAGGGGGCTCCAAGACTGCCCAAAAGAGCCCCCAAACAGCCAAGAGGGGCCCTAGAGGGTCGACGACGACGACGACGACGACGACGAGGAGGAGGAGGAGGAGGAAGAAGAAGAAGAAGAGGAGATCCGTCGTCACTTGTGACACCTTTCGTTGTCACCTCTCGAGGAGCTCTCATGGACTTCACTCGGGTCATCTTGGGGCTGGCCTGGGCTCCTGCTCCTGCGGGCCAGTCTTTGGGGCTGTTGGGGCCGCCTTGGGGCCCTCTTGGGGCCGTCTTGGAGGCCTCTTGGGCCAGCTTGGGTCCCTCATGGGAGCCCCTTGAGGCCATCTTTGAGGCTTCTTGGGCCATCTCGACCTGACGGAAGCCCGAGAAGCGAACATCCGTCCAAAACCTATGGAACATCAATGATGTTGGTATCTCCAGGCCCACTTAGAGGTTCTCTTGCGGCCCTCTGGGGCGCTCTTGGGAGCATCCTGGTCCATCTTGGGGCCATTTTGGGCCGCCTTAGGGGCCATCTTGGGCCGTCTTCGAGGCATCTCGGGCCATATTGGCGGCATGGATTGCCTGCCTTGGCCATCTTAGAAGCTCGGGACGCGGATCAAGTGCTCTTTGCCAGGGATCGTGACCCCAGGAGTTTCGCCAGAGGGGGGCGGTGCATGCAAGCAGACGTGAGTAGAGAGGGGGGGTCCTTATATGAATACAGGAACTCTACCAGACAGCCCTTGGTATTCTTCCACGCCTCAACGTGCACAAGGCACGGGGGCAAGACATCGGCCTGCCAGCAGGTGCCCTCCGAACATGTCTGATTCCTGGACGTCCTCGGGCACCCGTTGGAGCTTTGCGAGGTCCAGGGTCGACCGAATAATGTGCTGATGGATTTCTGATCGCAAGATTTCTGTATGCCAGGGAGGCCTGCAGCTTTGAGTCTACGCAGGCTGCACAGGGGGCGCTGGCCCTCGATCTTCAAATCTGGCGCGGTCCCAGAGCACCTCGCCGGCTGTGACACTGACATCAGCTCCAGAGGTGTGTGTCGTCGCGTCCACCAACCCCTCGCATCCCCCTCCTTCGTCAGCTTTCCCTGCGTCCTACCTTCGCGCATGCCCCCTCCGCTCCTGCCCCCCGTCGCACTCGCGGCCCACCCTATCCGCTCTCCCATTCCTCCTCGTCCTCCTCCCGCTGCTCCTCTAGGACCAGCGGCATTCGAGCATGTACTGTGGCTATCCACCCTTCGTACAATATGAAATACACAGCATCCAAGCACCTGGTGGCGTAAACTTCGTGCGCGCCGCACTGAAGCGTCGGACGGGGGTAGTGACTGGGTTTGTGTCAACGCGGGTATCTTCAAAGCATGCGAGGACCCCGCAAATAGGAGAGTGGGTACTGAGCCTGTTCTATGAAAAAGGTAAGCCTGTGTCACATGAGTTTTCCTTAGATGCCACAGCAGGCAGAGCCCATGCTACAGAGGCAGGTTCATCGACATCGTCGAACTCAAACCTCCAAATACATGTTGAATCGTTCATTTGCACCAGCCGAAGGCTCAGCTGTAACAAGCTAAGTCGGATTCCTCATCCCGTCTCCTCCCTCCTCCTCTTCCTCCTTCTACTCCGTCATCCGTTCCCCTCTGGCATTCGCCCTCCTGCTTCCCCAGAAAGCTGAGAGGAACTGTCACTTACCGCAGGGGGAACAAACGTCAAGTGCCTCAAGAGACCCCAAGAACATCTTCTAAAGACCGCGAATCAGCCCCACTCCTTCCCGAACACACCCTAACGCGTCGAACAACGAAATGACTTCCTCATCGTTCCCTCCCTGCCACCCTTCTCCCTGGACCCCCCTTCAGCTCGAGACTAGACGCCACTCTCCCCTCCGAGTACTCCCAGCAACCCACTGAAAGCCCAGAAGCCCCCGAAGGCCGCCGCGGGGCCTCTGGAAGCGGCCGACGGCACTCCGAGGAGGCGCTCCCCGAGGGCTGCTGACGAAGGCCCTCCGAGCCCCCCTCCGCAGAAAGCGCCTGCCAGGGCAGACCCGCCAGCGCCAGCACCAGCAGGTGGCCGCCGCCGCCGCCACCGAGCGCCGCGGCCGCCGCGTTTGGCAGCTGCGCCGCGCCGCCGCCGCCGTCGCCGCTGCCGTCGTCGTCGTCGTCGCCGTCGTTGCCGTCACCGGTCGCCGTCGGCGGCGGCGGCGTCCGCCAGGAGGCCCCCCGCGCGGCGGGCAGCGGCGCCTGCTGGGGCGGCCGCGGGAGCATGCTCTGCTTCAGCCGCACGCTGTGCTCCAAGCTGCGGGGGAAGCGCGGCGCGCCCTCCATCCAGCCGCGCCGCGGCCCGGGCCAGCCCAGGGGCAGTGCCGCCCACGGCGTCGGTGGAGTGTACACGAGAGAGAGAGAGAGAGTGGCCCTTCGCCAGAAGGGGCCTGTGTGGTGCGCGGCTTTCGCCAGGCGCGGGGCGTCAGGTCCAAGAGCGCAGGCCGCCACAGTCGGGGCGCATTGGCAGGTCGACCTTGCAAAGCCAGGGGTACTCTTGTGTCCTGTCCATCCCTTCTCATGCCCTCTGCCGCGGAAGAGTCTCATGTCCTGTCGCGTGTCCTCTCGTATGCGCCCCTACTGAACTGCCGCATCGCATGCAACGATCGGCGGGCCGCGCACCAAAGGTCACTCTTGCCCAGGGTCGCTCTTGTGTGTAGCCGGGTTAGCGGCACCGCAGCGGCGGTTCACCAGAGTTAGTCGGGACTGCTGGAGGCGTTCCAGGAAAGGCGTCGCCCTCGGCGAGTCTCGCCCTCGGCGGAGGTCGGCGGAAGACTGGCGGAGGCAGAACGGCGGCGGCCAGCCATCGGAAGGTCGGCGGAAGACGGCGGAAGGGGACGTCAACGTATTTGGACCCAGGGTTTCCGGAGTCGGTTACTCAATGGGGTCCGAGTAGAAGGTGTCGAAACATCGCATCGCATCGCCCCGATTCTCTCCGCCCCGATGTTGCCGATACATCGGCGATGCGGTGCGATCTTCCAGCCCCATCTGCTCGGCCAGCATTCGTGCGGCATCCACTAAGAGGTACTTTGAGAAACGGGGCAAAGTTGCTACGTTGGTGCATCTGTCTGGCACTGCGACACCGCCCACATCGGTGAGGGTTCGGTTTGCCGGGTCGCTGGCCGAAGTATGCGCTAGTCGCTAGTGGAGTACCCGTGGAGTACCTGTCAGGAGAGCGTTGCAGATGTCGCCGTCGCCGCCGCCGTCTCCGCCAGTCATCGTCGACGTCGACTGTCCGCTTGCAATTCGACGTGCAAGTCCACGGCGACAGGCGGGATGATACGTTGCCATTTTTGTACGTCGTTGTGCGAGCAGCTGGCATGTCTGTTCATCCGGCCCCTCAGCGGCCTTCTTCGATGCGACTGGAGCGGCTACTAGCCGCACCCGACGATGCCTGTGCCAACCTTGGCGAGTAGTGTGAAGGCCTTGCGGCCGGCGCCGCCGACCCTGAAGGCGGGACCTCCCCTGGGACCCCCGCTGACCCGGGACCCCCTCCGAGGCCCCCGTCCCCCCCGGGGGCCCGCCGTGGCCTCGAGGTAGGAGGACCCGCGCCTGTCCACTTTGGGACATTGGGACTCGATGAGGGGCTTGTAATCGGACCCGGGACGCCCCTCTCAGGGCTGCCCCCTCCCCCCCCCCCTCCCTACAGGCTGCCCCCCCCCCCCCCCCCCCCATGGTGACCCCCCCTTTGTCCTCCCTGTCCACAGGGGGAACTGCCCCCGGGACCCGCCAGGACCCCTGGGGGACGGTATCTCTTTCTGACCCCCCTTCCGCACACCCCGCCCGTCAGGGAAGGGAAAAAGGGTAGGGAAACGATTTATTCTCTTGCACAGGATGTCTAGAGCTCCGACCACTTTATTCCGCGTCGCACCCCCCCGCGTCCCCAGCGCCAGAGTGGGACCCCCGCGCCGTGGCTCTCTGCCCCCAGCGGGAGCCCCGCCCACTTGCCCCCTCCGCCACGAACGCTTCATTCCGCGTCGCACCCCCCCCGCGTCCCCAGCGCCAGAGTGGGACCCCCGCGCCGTGGCTCTCTGCCCCGAGCCTCCCCGCGTCCCCAGCGCCCCAGCGGGGCCCCCCGCTGTCTGTATTCCGCATCGCCCCCCCCCCCCCCCGTCTCCCGCCAGAGTGGGACCCCCGCGCCGTGGCTCTTTGCCCCGAGCCCCTCCGGTCCCCAGCGCCCAGCGGGAGCCCCCACTGCCCCCTCCGCCACGAACGCTTTATTCCGCATCGCGGCGCACACCACCTCCCCCACCTCCCTCCCCGCGTTCCCAGCGCCCCAGTGGGGGCTCCGCCCCGTGCCCCCTCCGCCCCGACAATTTTATTCCGCGTCGCGACGCACGCCGCCTCCCCCCCCCGTCCCCAGCGCCCCAGTTGGACCCCCGCCCCGTGGCCCTCTGCCCCAAGCCCCGCCCAGTGCCCCCTCCGCCCCGACCATTTTATTCCGCGTCGCGACGCACACCACCTCCCCCCCCTCTCCGCGCCCCCAGCGCCCCAGTGAGACCTCCGCCCCGTGCCCCCTCCGCTCCGAGCACTTTATTCCGCGTCTCGACGCACGCCACCTCCCCCTCCTCCCCACCTGGGATTTGGGCCCCGTTGCTGGGCCCCGAGGGGCGATGTCTTGCCCCCTCTTCCCCCCTCCTCCTCACCCTCCTCCTCCTCCCCCTTCCTTTTTGTGCAAGAGCCATGGCACACGTGCCACTTGTTTACAACCTGTCTTTTTCTTGGCTCGTTCCACGGTTATCAGTGGATCATTCGGGAGCCCACGTAGCGTTCGAGGGACCCATAGGTCACCGGACCTTGCTGGGCCTTCGTGATGTCAGAGGGAGTCCCGAAGAGGAGGAGGACGAGGAGGATGAGGACGATGGAAGGAGGAGAGATGGGTCCCCCCATGCTGTCCGCCGCGGCCCCAGGCCTCCTGGATGGGGATACCGACAGCTTCGCGACGTTAGGCGCGCCGTGGCGATCGCCGCGATGGCGTTGCTCCTCCCGATGCCTCTTCCTCTTCCTCCTCCTCCTCCGCCTCCTATTCTTCATCAGTTTCTTCATCTCCGTCTTCGTCCTCTTCCTCCTCCTCCTCCTCCTCCTCCCTCGAGGAGCAGCAGGAACAATGACGACGAGGGAGGAGGAGGAGGAGGAGGAAGAGGAGGAGGAGGAGGAGGAGGACCAGGGCAAACCCAAAATGCATCAACGATGCTGCGATACACCCCCCCGTCCCAAGTACCTTCCTCCTAAGCTTCTGAAAGCTTCCCGTTTCCACTTTGAAAGACCAGCACCCTATGGCCCTATGGGTCTGGCATTCAGGCGAAAGCCCCAATTTGAAACATAGCTATGTGCACTGCGTTCTTCCATCCTTCCAGCGATCAATGAAGAACGGGCCATGCATGACCATACAGTTCAACGAAGTGTCCAGCGAGATCCCTGTTTTGACGAAGGATCGTCCCCATCTGTGCATCCCTTGCACAATAACTTCCAGCCATGGTCGTCGATGTTGCCTTAAGCGGGACCCCCATGCTGCAAGAGGAGCCGCCTTCATCCGTGCAGCTGTACCATCTGTTAGATTTGCTGTCTTGGTAGGAAAAGCCAGCGAACGCCCAACTTTGAAAAGGGAACCGCCATTCATCCGTGCAGCTGTTGCATCTATTCAGGCTTCTATCTTTGAGTGTAAGGAAGTCTCAACCGAACGCCCCACTATGAAAAGAAACCGCGCACCAGCCGTGCAAGTGCTCCAAGAACTTAAGACGAATGCGAACAGCGCTGCGACGAGAGCCTCATTTAAAAATCAGCCCGCCCTCCAACCTTAAGACGGTTGCACACCTTAACGGCGAGAAAGCCCCATGTTGAAAAGGTATCGCCCTGCAGCCTTGACGTTGATGCAGCCTGTTAGGGCGACTTCGCGCGGCGGTAAGGCGAGAGCTTCATTTCGAAGACGGCCCGCCGTCTGCCCTTGAAGCTGTTGCAAACTTGAATGACGAACGTGCGCGGCGCTAAGGTGAGAGCTCAATATGGACAGCGGTCCGCCATGCGTCCTTGCAACCGCTGCAGTCTTTCAACACGAGTGTGCGCGGCGCTGCACACAGCGCGAGCTCAATTTTGAAGAAGGCCCGACTCCCACGATTGAAGCTGTTACAGATTTCAAGCCTCAGGACCATACATGGTCAGAAGTCTCAGGTGAAACCGGGCCCGCCCTACCGACACGTCTGGGGTGCAGCAGGACGGAGTTGTTTATGAGGAGGAGGAGAAATGGGAGGAGGAGTTGGAGGAGCAGGTACTCCCTGCTGTGGCCTGTGCATCCCCTCCTCCCCCTTCTGATCGTACGTCCACCCTCTCGTCAACCCCCCGATCCTACTCCACCACCTCTTCATTATCAGTCCATCCTCCCTCCGCGCCTGCCCGTGCTCCTCCTCCTGCTCTCCTCGTCCTCCTCCTTTTTAAGTCCTGCGATTCCGTATCCTCCTCCTTTTGTTCGTTCCTCCCTCTTCTCTCTCTCTTGTGTGTGTGATATTTCCCATTTTGTCTCCTCTCCCCTCCTCCCCTCCCGCCCCCTTACTTTCCCGACCCATAGCATGGATTCTGCGAAGCGTCCTCTTCCTACTGGGGCATCCTCCTCTTCACCCTCCTACCTAAGTGTTCCTCCCGCCTGTCCAGCTCTCTCTCTCCCTCTCGGCCCCCGCTCACCCTCCACGTCTGCCTGCACAGCATCCGCATCCCCCTCCGTCTGCCCCTCTGCTTGCTGCGGCCTCTCTACCTTATCTTCCTCCCTCCTCTTCCTCCTCCTCCTCCTCCTCTTCCTCCTCCTCCTCCATTCCTTTTTCTTGTGAGTAACTCCTCCCTGTCGCATCCCGAGGCCAGCTGGGCGTTTCGCCCGAGACTTCCTAACCATTTACGGCCCTAGAGTTTTCAATGTGGCAACAGTTTCACAGATGAAGGGCGAGTCGTTTCCAAAATGTTGCTCTCGCTTTAGCGCCGCGCACACTCGCTTTAAACAGATGCAAGAGCTTCACATATTGAGGGCGGGTGGTTCTCGAAGTGTGGTTCTCGCCTTAGCACCGAGTGCAATCGTTGAGCTTCACGGATTGAGGGCGATTCGTTTTCAAAATGTGGTTATCGCTTTATCGCCATGCACATTCGTTTTAATTGTTGCTCAGGAGTTTAACGGGTTCCCGTGGTCAGCGTACCAGAAATGGCATTTCGGAAATATTAAGGTTGTGACGGTGCAACATTTAGGTTGATTCGCGGTGTTGAAGTCCCAGGAACTGTGTCCTGACACGATGCAGGATCGTCAAAACGCATCTGTCAGGTTGATCCGTGGCGTGAGTGTGTTTGGGCACGCTGCAGGGACTTCAAACGGTTGTCTCCCAACGGGGCAGTTCCCTCAGTGAAAATGAACCCTTGTATGGGGCCTATGAAGAGGGAGCTGGAGGGAGGGTTTATTCCAACATCGTTGATGAGTCTTGGGTTTACACTGGTCCTCCTCCTCCTCCTCCACCGACTGGCCTGGACCTCCCTGAGCATAGGATCGTTGCATGCGCCCTCCTGGCTGGGCCAGATCTTCCTCTTCCTTCGCAGCCTCATCCTCCTCCCTCTCCCTTCCCGACCACCGCTTTCCCATCCTCCTCCCTGCTCCATCACTTCTCAGTCCTGCTCCCTCGCTCTCTCTCTCTCTCTCTCTCTTTGTTTGTGTTTCCCTCTCTCTCTCTCTCTCTCTCTTCCTTTCTCTGACCCAAAGACAGGGATGGACCACACGGAAGCACTACGGACAGTACCGCCCCCCCGCGACGCAGACAGCCACACCCCAGGGCCTAATTTCGCCAGCGACGCCATCCGCTTGGGAGAGGATCTGCGCATGGTAGGCGAGGGGTCGCGATCTGCGCCCCAGTGGCCAGCTTCGTCGCCTCAATCCGTTGGGCGGGCCGCTGCGCACCCAGCCCCCCCCGCGCAGCACTTCCTGCTAACAAGGCGAATCCCCCGCCCCACCAGGGCACGGGGACCAACGGCCCTTGCAACACCCACCAGGGTGTGGACGCCCGAACGACCCCAGTGCAGCGCACCAATCGGAAGGGGTGCCCCCCGACGGAGCGCCTCGCCCTGGCTGGGCCACAGCATCCACAGGGTCGTGAAGCCGCAGTCGCCGCAGGTACCACGGTGCTGCAGCAGCACGCCTCCAGCCTCGCACTCACGCCGAGCAGCATCCAGGAGAACAGCCCAGATCCCGTCCCGAACGGTTCCAAACAGCACAGTCCGCCTGGCACGACCGCCAACAGGCCTTCCGCACGTCTGCACTCCCTGGGGTCTATCTCCGGGAACGCCTCCAGGCGCGACTTACTGCTCAACGCTAGCGCACCAATGCTGGCTCCTTCCTTCCTTTCTCACCTTGTGCCCTGCGAGAACACGCGGCAACATGTTCCGCACACCTGGCAGTGGGCCGCACAGGGGGATGCCCAAAGGCGGTGTGTTCACTTCATGGGGCTCCGTGGCGCGCACGCCAGAGCGCGTGTAAAGCAAGTGCCTCTCTTTTCTCAGACGATCGCAAACATGGATCAAGGGGGCGTGGATTAGCGACGGGTCCCGTTTCCATGGGAAATCGCGGATTTCCGCCGCCGAGCGAGGCGGCACCGGCCGCATTTTGGGGAGGCCATTTCCCCCGATCCATGGATTTGGCGACCGCGCGCCAGATCCATGGAGAGCTAATCCACGTTTGCGCGCCCCGATTTTCGCGGGCGCGCAGAATGGGCGAGCCTCGTCCTTACCACCACGACCCGTCTCTGCTGCTCTCCAGTCGGGGTCCCCGCTCGACCGCGCCAGGGGGAGGACTTCGCCACCCCTGTCATTGACATGCGGCGCCTCTCGCTAGAGCGAGGATGGCCCAGTCGGCGGTTGTACCCGGCGGGCCAGGACAGACACCTGTCCCAGTTTGTGTGCGTTTTTTTTGTCTCTCTCTCTCTCTCTCTCTTTCTCTCCTCCATCCCCTCCCTCCCCTCCCAGTCCTTCTCTTCCTCCGCCTTGCTCTCGTGCTCCCTCCCTTCTTCCTCCTCGCTCCCCCTGGCCCCTCTCAGCACCTTCTTCTTTCACTCATGCTCCCTCATGACCCTCGGCTTCTCCTGACCCCATCCCTGGTCGCCTCTCTCTCGCCACTCCGCCTCCGCCTCCCCGAACCCCGAACTCAAAAAAGGCGGCTGTCTAGTTTCTCGTGGTGAGGCGCCAGAGGACTGGGGGCGAGGAGGCCGAAGGCCCCCGACCCCCGACGACGTGGACAAACCCATGACGCGAAACAGCAAAAACACGCGATGAGTGCCCTCGACCCAGGCCCTCGGTGCCCGAAGGTCTCGACACGGAGCGAGCCGCCCGTCGCGTTCTCACGCGCGACGCCCAAGCCTCCCTGCTCGGCTGGCGCTGCGCCCACGACTCGGTTTCTGCGCCGTCGTTTGGGGCGATCACGTCGGGTCCCCCGAGGGGGGCTCGGACAAGGCGCGGCTGAGGGCAAACGCCCCGTGTCCCCAAACTCCCACGGAGCCCCGGCAAAACAAAATGGAGTTTCTCACAACGCCCGCAGGATGAGGTTGAGGCGGAAGGAGGAAGGAGAGAAGATGATACATGAGGAGGAGGAGGAGGAGGAGGAGGAGGAGGAGGAGGATGGGGATGATGATGGTGCTGATGATGATGCTGCTGTTGATGATGATGGTGATTGCGATGATGCTGATGTTGATGATGATGCTGGTGATCCTGATAATGATGATGATGATGATGATGATGATGATGATGATGATGATGATGATGATGATGATGATGATGATGAGGATGATGACGATGATGATGATGATGATGATGATGATGATGATGATGATGATGATGATGATGATGAGGAGGAGGAGGAGGAGGAGGAGGAGGAGGAGGGTGCGGACGAGGCTGAGGATGAGGATGAAGATGAGGATGAGGATGACGATGAGGATGAGGATGAGGATGAGGATGATGATGATGACGATGCTGATGCTGATGATGCTGATGCTGATGCTGATGCTGATGCTGATGATGATGATGATGATGATGAGGATGAGGAGGAGGAGGAGGAGGAGGAGGAGGATGAGGAGGAGGAGGAGGAGGACAAGCTAGGTGCGCTCGCGTCATATCTGACATCCTACCCCTCCCTCCCATCCTTTACCATGGCGTAGATCCCCTCTCTATTCGCACAGTCGGATGTTGAGCAGGGCAATGATCCCGAAGGGGTACGCGATGCGTTGTAGAGCACGGCGTGGCATGGCGTAGAAGAGCACCGCAAAGCGTAGTATGTCACAGCATGACGTGGCGTGGCGTAGTGAAGAATTGTATCACAAAGCTTTGCAACGCAAAGCATGGCATCGCACAGCGGCCCCGAACATAACATTGCATACCATGGCGTTGAAGATCAACACGTAGCATGGCATAGCATGACGTGGCACTTACGCACTGGATATGACAGCTGCAGCTGAAGGCCTGGCATCGCGAAGCGGAACGCAACCTAGCATGGCATTGCATGCCGTGGCATGGCACGGGAAATGACGCCAGCGCTGCAGCGGGAGCGCGATTCGGAACGAGCGGAAGCGCGGAAATGAGGCCAGTGCTGCAGCGGGAGCACAATTCGGAACGAGCGGAAGCACGGAAATGAGGCCAGCGCTGCAGCGGGAGCACGATTCGGAACGAGCGGAAGCCCGAACATGAAGCCCGCGCCTCAGCGAGAGCATCATTTTGAAAAAGAACCAAGCGAAAACCCAACTCCGGGAAATCCTGTGTGTAAAAAAGCCGTACGCGGAGGGGTGCCCGCTATCTTCCGTACGCCATCGGGGATTGAGGAGAGTGTATTCATATTGTGTAATTGTGGAGGAGGAGGAGGAGGAGGAGGAGGAGGAGGAGGAGGAGGGGGAAAAGGAGGGTGCGAAGGAGGAGGGAGGATGCAGATGAGGTCGTGGAGAGGGGGGAGTTGGATGAGCAGCAGCAGCAGGCGGAGGAGGACGAGGAGGGCGGCATGCGGAGAGCGCCTCTTCTCTGCGCGAGCACGCGCGCGTGACGGAGGGGGTAGCTACAACAGCTCGGCGGCGTCCACGCCCAACGCGGACCCGCGCCTCGGCCTGCGGCCAATGCTGCTGCTCGTCCTCGTCGTCGTCCTCCTATGTCCTCCTCCTTCCCTCTCCCTCCTGCTCCTCCTCCTCCTCCTCCTCCTCCTCCTCCTCCTCCTCCTCCTCATCATCATCATCATCATCATCATCATCATCATCATCATCATCATCATCATCCTTCTCCTCCCCCTCCTCCTCATCCTCCTCCTACTTCTCATCCTTCTCCTCCTTATCCTCCTCCTCCTCCTCCTCCTCCTCCTCCTCCTCCTCCTCCTCCTCCTCCTCCTCCTCCTCCTCCTCCTCCTTCTCATCCTGCAAGCACCTTGGGCCCCTGACGCCTCGTGGCTCCTTTTGAGCGTCTCTGGCCCTCCGTGGAGCCTGCGGGAACCTGCGGGGGGCCGTGCAGACTTCTGGAGACATCTGAACGGGAGGGCACTTTGCGGGGACGTGTGGGGACCTCCGAGAAATGCTCCCTCCCTGAGGAGGAGGAGGAGGAGGAGGAGGAGGAGGAGGAGGAGGAGGAGGAGGAGGAGGAGGAGGAGGAGGAGGAGGGAGAGAGGGAGGGAGGAGGGGAGGAGGAGGAGGAGGAGGAGGAGGAGGAGGAGGAGGAGGAGGAGGAGGAGGGAGGAGGAGGAGGAGGAGGAGGAGGAGGGGGGAGGAGGAGGGGGGGAGGGAGGAGGAGGAGGAGGAGGAGGAGAGGAAGGAGGAGGAGGAGGAGGAGGAGGAGGAGGAGGAGGAGGAGGAGGAGGAGGAGGAGCTCTCCCTGAGCCTGGTCTACCGCTTCGACCGCGCTACGCGGCAATTCTGCTCGGGAGGTCCCGGCAATGTTGGCGCGAACTGGCTTGTGGAACACCCCACATCACGTACCGTGCCTACTGCAGTACATCGCGATGGCGATGCTTTCCTTTCAAAAGAGGCACATCCATCCTCCTCCTCTTCCTCTTCCCCCTCACCCGCCTTATTTTCCTTCTTCATCCCTCGTCCTCCCTCGTCTTCCAGCCTCCTTCTCTTCGTCTTCGATCTCCGCTTCTTCCTCGTTGTCCTGCCCCTTCCTTCTCTCCGCCTTCCCCGTCTTGACTCGTCCTCCTGCCTCCTCGACCTCTTCATCCGCCCCCCTCCCTCCCTCGATCCCCTTCGCCCTCCTTCGTCCTCCCTCTTCCTCCCTCCGTCCTCCATCAGTCCCTCGTTCTCCCTCGCCCTTCCTCTCCCTCTTGCATCCCCCGTCTTGCCCCCTCCACCTCCCCCGTGGGCACCTGCACCGCAGGAGCCCGGGGCCATGCGTGAGGCCGACTTCGAGTTCTTGCAGTGCATCGGCGCCCCACCTCCCCCACCCCCGCCGCGAGCCGGAGGGCGGCCCGAGCATCGAGGGCTTGGGGCGTCTTTTTGAGCCTCCCGGGGGGGGCGCCGTGGGCCGTCGCCGACGATGATAGTGCTGATAGTGACAGACGACGAGGGCGGCGACGACGACGCCCGAGGCCGACGACGACGACGACGACGACCACGGCGTCCGACGGTGGACCACGACGACGACCGACGACCGACCGTGGCGGCGCCGGCCGGCGGCGACCACACCGCGGCGGCAGCGCCGCGCCCCCGCGCGAGGCTCAGGCACCTTCGGGCACGTGTACCTCGTGCGGAAGCGCAGCGACGAGCAGCGGAGGCTCCTGGCCATGAAGGCCGCGAGCGAGCGGCCGAGGGCGGCCGGCGGCCGCTCGCCGAGGGGCGGAGGCTCCCGTCAGGAGGGAAAAAACACAAAAAGATGTGGGGAGTGAGGGGGAAGACGAAAACCCAGAGAAGATGGGGAAATATGGGAAGTCTTTTTGTTTTGCGAGTCTGTATTTGTGTGTCCCAGGGCCCCTTCATCCAGGCCATCACGGGCCGCTCGCCAGAGGCTCCTGGAGCCGCACGCCTCTCGGCGGGCGAGAGGAGAAGAACGGCAGGTTCGCGTCGTGTCGACCGGCGACGGCCCCGCCGCCGGCGTTTCACTTTGAAGGCCGCGGGCGACCCAGAATCGCTCGATGTGGAAGCGTTTTTTTGACGTTTCGGAAACGGCCGATCGTTCCAGGTGGAACGATCCCCGCGGTGTCAGAAGCCAACGCTGGAGTCGGTACGACACGAGCCGAACGTAAAGAAACAAACGCGGCGGCGAGCTCCGAACCCGGCCTTCGCGGATCGACGACTCGGGCAGCTCGACGGGCGGGGGGGGGAGGGCTCGGAAGTCGTCGAGCACGTGGCGAGATCCGAGTCGCACCTCCCATCGGTCCAGGAGACTCCACTTGGCATCGCTCCGACGTGTGCATTTTTCCTTCAGCGGGGACCATCGAGGAGCATCCTTGATCACTTGGCGAAAAAGCCACGCACGAAACCGAAAAAAGCACAGGGAATGGACGCCCGAGCGATGGCCAGTCCATGGTTGGTCGGAGGCAGGGGTTCGGATGTCGCCACCCAAACAGGCGTCTCCGTCGCTGGCCGGTGGACGGCGAGGGGAGACAGCGGTGCTTGGCCTCCGGCGGGCACCCTCGCCGCCACGGCTGGACGCAGCTCGGAGAGCTGCTGCGTCCGGACCCCGGGAGGGGTCCAGGGGCCGGTTTTGAGCTGCCGTCGTCGCAACTCGCCCTGCTCCGAGGTCCCCCCCGAGGCGCGGGCGTGGCAGTGCGCAGCTCGAAAAGGTGGCCAGGATTGAGCGTGCTCGGGGTCCGAGGTTCGGCTTCGAGCGGGTCTCTTGCAGAGAATGCGCCCTGAGGGAAAGGAATCCCGAGGCTTTCCGCAATTTTCCGCCTCTTCGGGGTCCTCCCCGGTTGGGGTGAAACAAAAGAGCGGTCCAGTGGGAAGCCCCGGGGGGTACAGGATTTTGCTTTTGGTTCGTGACCCTCTCTTGATCGTGCCCATCCTCTACACACTGTCCCTCGTCGAGAGCCTTCCGGAGGGCCCAGGCTCGTCTCGGACAACCGCCTCGGGGCCCAGCTGGCCCAGACGGCCGCGCAGGCCTCCCAGTTTCGGACCGAAGTCAAACACGGCAGACCTTTTCGCCTCGCTTCGGGCCTCGCGACCCTCTATGCCGATATTGCTCGAAAGGTGGCGCGTGAGGCTGGGCTCGATGCGTAATTCAAGCTCAGGTGCGTGGTGATTTCTGCGGCGTCGTGAATCTTTCACTCTTTTTCCATGTATACAGGTGCACAGTCTTCACAGTTAGCTCTTCCGCGACCCGGCTGTTGCTATTTTCCCCGTCATGCTTTCACGTCACCGCTGACAAAACGCTTTTTTCACGAATTCGGATGTTTGTGTGGGTCTTTTGTTTTTGACGTATGCTGTTGTGGTTGCGGATCTTCTTCCCCTTTTATCTACTGCTCTTAGTTTTCGCCCCATTCTCTGACTGATCACTCTTCACAACTGAGCTGGCAGAAACCGTCAGCAATCCTCCTCACTCAGCCTCACTCCTCAAACCTCGACCATCCAACTTCCCTCCACTCGACAAAGATGACGACAACGAGGACGACCACCTTTCGAAAATGGGACCTAAGACGCTGCTTTGACCTTCATTTGTTTCTCCCTCTCCCTTGTACCCGCCCGCTCACTCTATGAACCGACCCCATTTTGGAGAGGCTTCGTTTCATACCAGCTCCTGGGCGAAGCATTCAGAAGTGCACTCTGTATGCGCACCTTGCCGCCATGGCTGTCATGCCAGCCAACGTGCCCGCGGGCAATGTACGAATTTGATTGGATTGCAAGGAAATTTCCAGCGAGAATGCCATTCCTGAGTTCGGGGGCCTCCCTGGCAACGGCGGCTCGGAGTAAGCATCGAGGAAGCATAGAGCGGAAGCCGTTATCGTGGTAGTTGGGCCTTCGCCAACTGAATTGCCTTCGCCAACCGAGTCGCTAGGAGGTCTCGAGCGAGAGATCCATTCCTGAGTTTGGGGCCTTTCTGGCCAGGGCGTCTCGGGGCAAATTCCGAGGAGTTGTCGAGCGGGAGCCGTCGTCGTCGTCGTTGGGACTTCGCCGACTTGATTGACCTGCCAGGAAGTTTTGGATGAGAGCGCCAATCCTGAGTTTGGGGGCCTCTCTGGCCAGGGCGCCTCGGAGTAAACATTGAGGAGGTATCGAGCGGGAGCCGCTATCGTGGAAGCTGGGCCTTGGCCAACTTGGATACCTTCGCCAACCTGACTGGCTTGATCGAATTGTTCGGAAATCTCGAGCGAGAGATCCATGCCTGAGTTTTGGGGCCTCTCTGACCAGGGCGTCTCGGGGTAAATCGTGAGGAGGTGTCGAGCGGGAGCCGTTGTCGTCGTCGTTGGGACTTCACCAATTTGATTAAATCGCCAGGAAGCTTTGGGCGAGGGCACCATTCTTGAGCTTGGGGGCCTCTCTGGCCATGGCGTTTGGGAGCTAACCAGAAGTATCGAGCGGGAGCCGTTGTCGTCGTAGTTGGGCCTTCGCCAATCTGATTACATTCTCGGGAAGTCTTGGGCTAGAGCGCCATTCCTGAGTTTTGGGGCCTCTCGTGACCCAGAGCGTTTCAAAGGAAGTTGTGAGGAAGTATAGAGTGGGAGTTATTGTCGGCGCAGTTGGGCTTTTACGGGCCCTCATTTGGAACCACGCCCGCGCTCAAGCAGGGCCTCATCTTCAAAGAACGTGCAGCGAGCGTCGAGGCGAGAGCGCATGGAACCGTTTCCAGAGATCAGCAATCATGACCATAGCCCCGGGAGTTGCGGATCAGATTTTGGGGGCGGGAGGGGGGGGCAGCCGTCGACAGTCTGCGAGGCTCGAAAGAAAATTCGAAGACTCCCGCCGCCCGCGCAGATGATTCACACCTTCCACGTCAGGCTGGCCGCAGGCGCCGATCTTGTTTCGCCAACGTACGTAAGGTGGATGGGTCGCGGGTGGGTCGCGGGTGGGTCGCAGGTGGGTCGCGGGCGGGTCGCGGGTGGGTCGCGGGCGGGCCGCGGGTGGGTCGCGGGCGGGCCGCGGGCGAGGACGACGACGACGTGAACGGCAAGAACGCTGAGAACAAGAATGGCAATTCGCACCGTGAAACCCTTTTTACAGCCAGGCATCCAGGGACCGTGCATGACCGCTGGGCCTCCTCACTCTGATTAAACTAATGTGATGGGCTTGTTTTCCACCACCACCACCATAAGTTGGAGGGGGAGGGGGTCCTCCTCCTCCTCCTCCTCCTCCTTCTCCTCCTCGTCCTCCTCCTCCTCCTCCTCGTCCTCCACCTCCTTCCCCCCTCCAACTTCTGGTGGTGGTGGTGGTGGAAAACAGGCCCATCATAATGGCCTTCGGCCCATCCCGTCACCGAGCTTGGGTTGTGGGCGGTTGTGGGTATGAAGCCCACTGGATGTTCGTCGGGATCTCGTGGGAGGGAGGCCTCTCGGGGGCTTCTTGGAGGCAGTTCGGAGGTCTTTAGGGGCCGTTTTAGGGTCTCTTGGGGCCTCCTGGGGCCTCGGCGCCTTTTGATGCCTCCTGGGGGCCTCTTGGGGCGGAAGGCTTGGATTTTCGGTTCGCGTTCCGTCTCTTGGGCCCCTTTTGGCGCAGTATTGGGACCCTTTTGGGCCGTCTTGCGCATTCTTGGGCACCTCTTGGGCCGTCATGGGGCGCTCTGTTAGGCTGTCTTGGGGCCTTCTTTTTGATTGCGATGGAGATCGCGTGAGGGGTTCAGCCCAGCATGTTGCCCTCCTCGCAGCCTTTGAGGCTCGGTTGCGGGAGGGCGGGATTTTAGACAACAGGGCGAGTTGCGCCCTTCGCAGCGGCACGTCGGGAATCCCAGCGGTCACGCTGGGAGCCCCCGACGATATGGCAATTTCGGGTCCAGGCCCTTGAAAGAATCCAGCGGATTGAGGACAGGCTCAGGGGATAGAGGAAGGGACTTGGGGACATTCCAGTTCGTGCCGCAGTGGCATGGTGGCGGATTGCTCTCAATAGCAGTTACTGAAGGAATAGGGTTGGATGTGGAGAACGCGAGAAAGAGTTGAAGTTAGCCCCGGTGGGCGTCAAAGGAGCGTGCTTCTAGGCCAATGCCAAGGAAGGAAGATATACGTGTGAAGCTGCCCGAGGAACCCCTCCCCGAACACTCGATCCCTCCTCCCTCCTCCCCTGGCGGCTCGTGGAGGTCCTGAAGAAGAGCCGCGTGGCGGACACGAGGCCCCCCGCCGGGCGAGCGTCCTTCCTGGGAGGCATCGTGTCGCCGCCGCCGTCCTCGTGGAGTCGGTCATGTGTGCCGGGTTTGCTCTGGTGCTTCAGGTCACCCGCAGGGTCGTGCTGCCAGTCTTGGGCTGGCCCATACATCCAATGACGCATCAACATCCACAGGCACATACATCCCGTGATGCGTGATGCGTCAACACCTATTGGCCCATACATCCAGGCCCATACATCCAGCGATGATGCATCAGCATGCCCATACCTCCAGTGATGCATCTATATTCGCAGGCCCATGCATCCAGCAATGCATCAACATCCACAGGCCCACGCATCCAGTGATGCATCAACACTCAGAGGCCCATACTCCCAGAGGCCCGCACGCCCACAGGCCCATGCACCCAGAGGCCCATACTCCCTTAGGGTCGCGCAAGGGAGTCGTATGAGGGTGTAGTTGCTATTCTGTTTGTCGGTTCGGTTGTTCTGTTGTTTTGTTGCTCGGGGGGGCGGACGGGGCCGGGCACCCGGCAGCCGATCTCTTTTCCCCGGGGAAGGAGGCAAGGGAAAGCCCTGCGACTGGGAACTCAGCAGCCGCCTTTACCTAGACGTCACCGCTGCCTTCCCCACTCTTCAAAGGAATTAAATATGATCGACGACTATTAGCGGGGCCAATCACGCACTGCTTCTTACAAGCGCTGGTATGGCCGATGCTTCCGGGTGCAACTGCGTTTGCCGCTTCGCGATGCCACCTTGATCAGACATCGTGTTGCGTCCACATCGGCGCTGGCAGCGACCATAGCATCCAGCAGACATGCAACGGGGAACTTGTGTTCTGTGGGAGCATTGACTGGGGTCAGTGTGACCTTCCGCCAACCCTTTTCCCTTGCACGTTGCAGCCAGATCTGACGCCGATTAAGATTATTCAAGTATTGCTCCATAAGAAGGCCGATGGTGCGTTTTAAACGGTTGGGAGAGAAGAGTATGTACCGAACGATTGCCTCGTCGGTGGGTGAGGGTTGGTGTATGTTTTTGAAGAGCTCCAAATAGATTGGATTCTGCAACACGGAACATGTTTCTCTGCATCGACCGACAACCAATTTCTGCGTACCCAGCTGCTCTCATTCGAGGATCCTCTTGAACATCTGTCGGGGGACAGAGACAGCCTTGCGGTGCTGCGATGCTGTCTGGGCGCGAGCAGAACAAACAACTACCCTCACCGCGCCATGGTGTTCATTGCACAGCGCGTTCTCTCTCTTTCTCTCTCTCTCTCTCTCGCTCTTTCGCTCTCTCTCTCTCTCTCTCTTTCTCTCTTGTCACCCCGACTTTGTTTCGTCGCGACTCGTCAGGCACGATCGTGTTCGCAGCAGCCGATCAGATTCGCCAGAAGGCTCAAGCCACGAAACAGATTTATGTTTGTTTCTTCGAAGAGCTACGCAGTTGCGATTCTCAGTGAAGGTCGTGCAACTCATGAGGGACATTTGTAAGTTTCGACTCGTGAAATTCGAGCGCGTCGGTTCATTTGGCGCTTGCGTTATCCAGGCCTCAGTGTGCGTCGATTGGCGCCACGAAATTTGGTTATATTTAATCGCTTCGCTCATTCCGCCGGCCCGTATTGCGCCATCGCAAGCGTTTGCTTGCGCGTTCGTGGCCTCTTGGAGCCTCGTTGGGGCCGTTTGGGGCCTCTTGGCGCCTCTTTTTAGGCCTCTTGGAGAACTCGGGAGGCCTCCAGGGGGCCTCCTGAGCTCTCGTGACGGTCTCTTGGGGGGCTTTCGGCGGGCTCTTGGCGGTATTTGTTGGTCCTCTTGGGGCCTGGGGCCTGACGTTGTTGGTCCTCTTGGGGCCTCACGGGAGCTTATTGGGGCGTCTTGGGGGTGTCTTGGAGAGTCTCTTGGGGCCTCTTTCGGGGTCCTGGGCGCCTTCTGGGGCGGAGGGCTAGATTTTTCAGTTCTCGGTTCCCTTCTTGAGCCCCTCTTGGGCCCGTCTTGGGGCCTCTTGGTCCGCCTTTGGCAGCACTTGGGCCGTCTGGGGGGCGCTCTTGGGCCGCTCCGGGGCCGTCTTGGGAGCCTCGTGGGCCGTCTTGGAGCAGTCTTGAAGGCCTCTTGGGCCCTCTTGGAGCGTCCGGAAGCGAAAAGGCCAGAACGCACAAAAACATCGAAAAAACAAATGAAGATCAACGATTTTGGCAACTTGGGGCCCTCTTCGGAGGCCTCTGGGAAGGCCCTTGGAGCGTCTTGGAGGCCTCTTGGGCTGTCTTGGGGCCATCTGGGGCGTCTTCGGGCGATCTTTGGCCGTCTCGGGCCTCTCTTGGACCGTCTAGAAAGCTTCTCGGGGCCCTCTTGGACCGATCTGGAGCCCTCTTGGGCTCCGAAACAGAACTCCAGCATCTCTGACCCGACCTTGCCGGGACCTTGCCGGGGACTTGCCGGGGACTTGCCGGGACCTTGCCGGGGTACTTTTCGTCCGGGGACCCCCAGGGGCCGCCCCGCGCGCGCGAACTAGAAATACTCTTAACCAGGTACCCGAGATCTTAGCACGCCCTGGCCCGTTGGGCCGGCGAATGATAACATTCGTTGGCTGGCCTCTGAGAAGGTCGGGACGCTTCGCCGCAGCTTGTACTTTGCAGAGGCAGCGTCCCGACCCCGCCGCCCAAGGCTAGGCTCAGGTGCCAGGTGAGCGTTTGCTCCTCACCAGTCTGAGGGACCACTACCTAAAAACGCCACCAGGTCCAGCACAAATCCTCCTCCTCCTCCTCCTCCTCCTCGTCGTCCTCCTGTAGCTCCTCCAGGGAGCAGCAGGGTGCTCAACCACGCCCTCTGGCCGGCTGCCCTCTCCCCCGCGTCCTCCGGCTCAGGCGACGTCACCGAGAAGGAGTGCCCGAACACCTGTCTGGTGAGGCCGAGGGTGGGTTCCTTGGAGGTGGCGCGCGCGCGCGGGGTGGTGGTGCTTGCTCCCAACCGTCCCGTGGTGCTGGGTCCTCGTTTTGAAGACACAGTGCCTCGCGTCCCCCTCACGCCTCCACCTCCCCCTCCTGCCTCCATTATTCAAGGCATCATCATTATCATCATCATCATCATCATCATCATCATCATCATCATCATCATCATCATCATCATCATCATCACCATCACCATCGTCAGCATCACCAACATGAGCATCACCATCGCCGTCAACATCATCATCATCATCATCATCATCATCATCATCATCATCATCATCATCACCATCATCACCATCAGTGCACCAGAGAAAAGCCCCAATCCGTGGACGGTCCGGAAGTTGTGCAAGCACCATGCGAGGGAGGGGAATGAGAAAGCGAGATATCGCCTACGGAGAAAAGCCATCAGACAGACCGATTCCACATTTATATATTGCGTAACAAGGAGTGAGACAGATACAAGGAGCTACCAAGAGAGAGAGAGAGGGAGAGAGAGGGGAATGAGAGAGATGTTGCAAAACACGGAGAGAAAACAAGCAGCAGCAGCAGCAGCAGCAGCAGACAAAACGCAAACAACAATGAGGAAGAGGGGCCGCCCCCCAACGGCCGCCGCCCACCGACATCGGCTGGCTTCCTTCGCCAATCTCTTGATGGGGGCGCCCACCGAAAGCCGCAAACCGAGAGCCGCCCACCAAGACCAGCTGGCTACGTTCGCCAATCTCTTCTACGTCCGCTAGGACCCTTTCAGCGTAAACACCGGTTGGGGAATCATCGCCGTCATCATCATCATCATCATCATCATCATCATCATCATCATCATCATCATCATCATCATCATCATCATCATCATGCAATCATCATCATCATCATCATCATCATTATCATTATCATCATCATCATCATCATCATCATCATCATCATCATCATCATCATCATCATCATCATCATCATATCATCATGATCATGATCATGATCATGATCAGCATCATCATCATCATCATCATCGTCATCATCACCATCACCATCATCATCATCATCATCATCATCATCATCATCATCAACAACATGATCGTTCCATCGCCGCCAATGTCGGCACACCCCTTACACGCTTCGTGGCCCCATGCGGGGCTCCACCCAAGGCCCCAGCGGCACCGTCCATGCGTCTGCGCTACCCATTTCGGCACACCCCTCACACGCTCCGTGGCCCCATCGAGGAGCTCCACCCAAAGCCCCAATGGCACCGTCCACACGCGTCCGCGCCATCCATGTCGGCACACCCCTCACGTGCTTCGTGGCCCCATAGAGACCTCCACCCAAGGCCCAACGGTCACGTTCCACATGCGTCCGCGCCAACCATCTTTGGCGCACCCCTCACACGCTTCGGGGCCCGATGCGGAGCTCCACTGAAAGCTCCAACGGCACCGTCGACATGCGTCCGCGAAACCAATTTCGGCACACCCCTCACGTGCTTCGTGGCCCAATAGGGAGCTTTATTGAAGGCCCCACGGGCACCGTCCACATGCGTCCGCACCACCCATTTCGGCGCACCTCTCACTCGCTTCGTGGCTCCACCCAAAGCCCCAGTGGCACCGTTCGCATGCGTCCGCGCCACCCAATTCGACACACACCTCACTTGTTTCGTGGTCCTATAGGGAGCTCCACCCAAGGACCCGCGAGCACCGCCCCCATGCGTCCGCGCACCCCACTTGGGCACGCCCCACTCGTTTCGTCGCTCCACAGGGAGCTCCACCCACAGCCCAGTGAAACTGTTCGCATGCGTCCAGTCCTCCCTGTAAGAGCTCCACCCAAAGCCCGAGTGGCACCGTTCGCATGAGTCCGCGCCATTCATGTCGGAACACCCCTCGCACGTGTCGTGGCCTCATAGGGAGCTCCACCCAAGGCCTAAGTGCTAACGCACCATGGCGGCACACCCCTCACACGCTTCGTGGCCCTATAGGGAGCTCCACGAATGGTCCCAGTGGCACCGTTCGCATGCGTCCGCGCCACCCAATTCGACACACACCTAACTTGTTTCGTGGCCCTATAGGGAGCTCCACCCAAGGACCCGCGAGCACCGCCCCCATGCGTCCGCGCACCCCACTTGGGCACGCCCCACTCGTTTCGTCGCCCCACAGGGAGCTCCACCCACAGCCCCAGTGAAACTGTTCGCATGCGTCCAGTCCTCCCCGTAAGAGCTCCACCCAAAGCCCCAGTGACACCGTTCGCATGAGTCCGCGCCATTCATGTCGGAACACCCCTCGCACGTGTCGTGGCCTCATAGGGAGCTCCACCCAAGGCCTAAAGTGCTGACGCACCATGGCGGCACACCCCTCACACGCTTCGTGGCCCTATAGGGAGCTCCACGAAAGGTCCCAGTGGCACCGTTCGCATGCGTCCGCGCCACCCAATTCGACACACGCCTCATTTGTTTCGTGGTCCCATCGGGAGCTCCAGCGAATGCCCCAGTGCCACCGCCGGCATGCGCCCGCGCCACTCATTTCGGCACACCCCTCAAAAGCTGCGTGACCCGGTAGGAGCTCCACCCAAGCCCCAGTGGCACCGTTGGCAAGCGTCCGCGCCTTTCATTTCGGCACACCCCTCACAAGTTTCGTGGCCTCATCGGGAGCTCCACCGAAGACGATGCTCGCGATTGCGGTACTCACTGCTGCATATGGTTGGGTCCTTCGCCAGGAGAGTGTTCTTTGGGGGTGGCTCAGCTTGCAGCTTC